GTTATATTGACCGGTTTACTGGTTGAACCGCTAGAAGAAGGGTTTTACTCACTATCTTCCATATTGAGGTAGCTTATCCCCACCAGGGTTTGGTCGGTCCAGCCTGGGTTATGCACCCGGGACCGCCAACACCGTCACAACACAAGTGACACTCTGTCAATCGGTCGCACGCTCTACCTCGGTCCTTTTAAGAAACATAGTAGCAAATCTAAAGAGCTGTCGCCGCGCCGAAATGAAATCTGATGTTAATGTTCTTTACATTTTACTTCATTGCATTCAGTTTCGTTTGTGTTTTTCGTTGTGCGACTTTGCCAATAACGAGGACGTACTCAAATTGAACCGTCACTGTTACCATAGCTACCGGTCCGAACACTGCGAGTGGACGTTTCCTCTTGCCCCTGTTCACTTATAGGTTGTGAGTAAACGGCTAAGACGTGAGAGACGCACTCTACACCAGTATTTCTCAAAGGGTGTGTTGCAAAATTTTCCAAGTTTGTCGCGAAATTTAGAAAAAAATTAGCTTCCATTTTTTTTAATCCTTTGCACCCAAAAGTTTTTTGCTAGAAATATTCAACACTCTTTGATTAAATATAGACGATGTTTGTTGCGGCTAATGTAACTAATTTAATCTATAAATTAAGGGACAAAAATATTTCACTTTGATATTTCACATCGTAATGCGCTATACAAAGTCCAATGTTAAACATCAAACTTTATAATTTTACTTTATCAAATCTGAAAATCACCTCTAGAGTGTAAGGGTTAACGTCACTGTCCGAATATACGTGCAATATCATCAGAAATTGTTAATATTATTTTTTATTCTATTGATTTAATTTAGAAATTTATTCTCCTATGATTACGTAGGTGTGCCGCGAAATTTTTTTTCTTTGGAAAATGTGCCACGAGAATGAAAAGATTGAAAAACTCTGTTACATACACTAATCGAACACGCGACACTGTGAGTGTACTTTTATAGGATAATGCTCATTAGACATACACTGAAAAAGCTTTAATAGTTCCAGTCAATCGCGGTAGTTTCGTACATTGTTTCATACATATACACAGACACGAGTTTCACTCACAAGGAAAGGTATCGAACCCAGAAATTTAAAAAATTATGAAATTTTGTGTGTAAATAGAGTAAGTCAAGACATTACAATTTTTTTTGGAAATTCGCTTTGAAGGGGTAAAACCACCCGCTGAAAAAAATGCAAATTTTTCTTTCCCGCGGATTATCTTGAAAACGGTAAGAGATACGGAAAAAAAGTTTAAACAAAAAGTATATCATTCTTTGACAAAAATTCAAAATTTTGAAGCATTTGAACTTCTATTAATAATAGAGATTGGTATGAGATTTTTCGGTGTGTGATGCAGGTGCTACACTTTTCTCCCGCCCACGTTTTTATCTTATGATTGTTAAAAATTCTTCAGTTTGAATCCGATGTTTTTTATTATAAAACTCAAACGAGTTTAATATTTTTCAAAATTATTTTTTTCAATTTAAAATTAAATGTCCTTTGTGAGAGTATAGGATTTTTGGAAATTATGAATTTCCCTCTATTATCTAATTGTCAACAAGTAGCACGGTGGACGAATCGTGACGGATGAGACGGATGATGGACGGACGAGTCTGAGTTTGTTTACATTTTATATTACAGTCGCCGCGCCGTGATACAGTTGGATAGAAATATTTATTTATCACGGACATAGAATTCATTATAGCATTACTAATAGTTTTTAGTAAATATCCCGAATATTAAGTTAGACCGCAACTTAAAAGTTATAGGAAAAAGTTGTTCAAAATGTTGATTTGTACAACATATCCAAACATCATTCAAATCGATATGGATGTAACTGTTTAGTAACTTTACCAAAGTTGAATTAAAATGAAAAATTTATTACAAAAGTATATGAGTAGGGGAATCAGGTAAAACGTAACACTAATGTTTTTCACAAATAAAGAACTTGTATCGAGTTGATATCACATATTATGGTTCTAATAAGTCCTCAATATAGTTTGAGATCGACTACAAAGCAATGCATACCTGATTTTTCGATTAATAGCATTGGAAAGATATTCAGTGAAAAAGTTTTAACGTTACATAAATGTTTGAAGCAATTGTTTTTACCTTTCGATTAAAAAATTGAACAAGATAACTACGGTACTGGAGTCTACGTTCCTTAAGCTGTATTTTTCACACTTAAGTTACATATTTCTGTATCCCATGCCAAACTGTAAATTTTAAATGTTTTTCTAAATTAAGATGTGCGGGCCGAAACGGAACGCTCTAACACACGGACAAGACGAGTCCCTTACTATGTGCTTTGTTTTAATTGATTACGTGTAATCGTATTGATGTACAGTAAATTCGAATCGAAGATGAGATAAAAACTGACTAATTAGATTACACCATTGCAGGAAAAGATGACACATTTATTTCTGATTTTTGTTCATGAAAATATATGTTTGTGGGAATAGATGATCGGCGATTATGTTCGGCATGTGCGCGTGAATGTTCATGTTGTTTGGAATATTCTAGAATATATTGATTTTTAAAATTATAGACTTCTCGTAGCTAATGATATTCATTTTAATGAATCTGGAATATTCCAAATAAACATTAAGTTAATGCATGGTGACGAAAAAATGTTCTGGAAGGTGTGCAAGTGAGAGGGAAGTATGCGATTGAAAAAAGGGGGGATGCCCATGAATTTCGGGGCATTGTGCATTGTGTATTTTGACGAGTCGTGTGTTAAAGATTGAATTCGAGTTGTCGCGCGAGTAACTATAATCAAACTCCTTAATAAAGTGTGTGTATTATTTCGCATAAACTATTATTATTTCCTACATATTACTAGTTTATTTATATCAGCTACAAATTAAATATATTCCGTTAACAATTTTGATTTAGTAAAAATAAAGATTTTGTATTTTTATATGATTTTACATGAGTGTTCCGTTTTGCACTACCACTTTGGCGAAACGAATATTCCAATACCTTTAGAAAATCGTATTTTCTTTCATAACTGTAGTATCTAGAATATTTAGCGTAGGTTAAGGTATTTTTAAGAAGAGTGAATGTAAGAATGAGTGTGAATGAATTGGCTGTAAAACGGTTGAGGGAAAGTGGCCTGCACAACGTCGGGGACCCAAGATTACAGG